CAAATTCTTCTGACAGTGATCCAAGCATAATCACGGAGTGTAAATCTTAGCGACTGTGAACTGATATGTGAACTTTTCTATTTATTGATAGTTCCTAATGTCTTTTGAACTACTGCTAACCTAAACTATATCATAAGCCTCACTTTATCGCTTACATTAGAAAAACACTCAAAGCAATCCCATAAAAATCCCCTAATTTGATCTCGATTGCTCCACTCGCATTCACCTTTCTCTCCTTACCATATAGCTTTTTTCCTGCACACTGCAACATTCTAATGGCATACAAATTTCCGCTATTATTTCTTATATAACAGCATTACTCAACTTTTCCTCTATTCGAATTGCAAATTGCATTTTTATTGCAAAATTACGAACAATTTCTTCCATTCCTTCAGAACAAACTGCACCTTCAATGTAACGTCGTAACATTTAATCAACGTAACTCATTCGTATGTGAAACGAAAAGTTTGCTTCACAATCGAACAGCAAACAAGTAATGTGAATGATCAAATTAAGGATAATCAGCCGATCGATCGCGGATAAAATTACGAAGATTTTTGTTGTACTCAACCAGGAATGAACTCATTGTCCTTTCGATGAGTCGTTTCGGTATCTCACCCTTCAATTCATAACCATTAGCAAAAAAACAAATAATGATATTTGTTTAAGCTATACTTTATAAACCTCGCAAACATTTCATCAAAATCTAAAATTACCAATTTGATTCTAATCAAAATCTTAAATTACATTCCGAAAAAGTCAACAGAAAAGACACTCTCACCTTAACATCACTCGACATAATCCACTCATATACAGATGTATTTGGTGAGTCCTCTGATTTTGTGACACGTATCAAATTTGGTCCATTGAAGCCTCGAACGGTTTTCTTGGTGGCATTCGGCGGTAAAATTGATGAATCCACCGACACATACCATCCTTCATAAATTTCCTTTTCTGTGTCCAAATTTATTCGACGAACATCCAAAAAGTCCCTTAAAATAGCCCACAAAATCAAACACTAATCCCCGAATCAATCAATTAACATCATCAACTTTTCATCATCATCACCAAACTAAACAGCAACAAATATCCCAATAAATTACCATAAACATTCATTCAAACTACTCCATATACTGAGTTGTACTCAAAAAAGTACTCATTTCCATTCCATCTGTCTGTCTCAATTGCAAAATGTTGCCAAGCAATTCATGATCGTTTTACGGATTGCACAACCACAGGAAAACATCACAGCAGTACAAACTTGTTAAGATAGCACGGAAAGGAGCAGAACAATATCAGTTGCGTTTAAAAAATCCAATACGAAACGTCAGTCACATTGAACTGAACAACTTTTTTTGCACCTTCAATTCATGGTTCCAACAAACTACACCACTTTCCAAAAATAAAATCTCAATCAATGTACCACTACGATTGCATTCACGGGTGTATGTGTGTGACATCGATGTATAAAACTATTACACAGTTTCTTCGTGTCATTTAAAAGGAAACTGCGAGTGTCGTTACACCTTCGTTATCAAATTCAAAATCAGTTTCAATTCTAAAATTCATAAATCTGTTGATCTATACGAATCAACAACACACGTTCACATCACACAAGTGCCACTGTCATCCAATAAACTAGTGATAAAGCTGATAGGTAATGATAGTATGAACAAAATTCACTGCTACATTACTGATGAGATGATTTAAAGATTTCTTTTGAGAGATTGGAACAAGAGTTTCAAAACTATCAAATGCGCTGCCTACCTTGATGCAATATAGCCACGTAACGCAGGCGCCGTCACTGAATACAACAATTCAGTTTTTGAATCAATATGTAATATTACCTGAAATTCAACTACTCATCATAAATTCACTGCAGTGTGCTTTAACATCATCATAACTACACCTGAACCTAGCCATCGATTGTTCCTTCGCTGGGCACAGCTACAAGCAACTTTAAAACAACCATTTCGCTCAATGAACAGATAACAGTACGTCAATTAAGAACGCAGAACTGATAATATTACAAGGATAATATTTTCCTTTGTTACATACGAATTCGCAGTCAGTGTTCAAGTCATAATCAAGGCGTGATATGGAATATTGAAATATTATTGCAAAACAGAGCGCAATTGACCTTCATTTCAGTAACTTGTTTATTGAACATCTGATTATCCCTCCAAATGGCCATGAACAGCGACTTAGGAGAACACTGAATCTCAGATCGAACATAATAGACCCGTTCTCGATCAAAATAACGAATTTCTGGATTATCTCTGCAATTTCTCGAGCAAATTTACACATTATTCCAATCCATAACTACGAATAATACCGAATGACACAATTATTACCAACTCATCAAAACTTCTTAAATCTACCTCATAAATTGCATACCACATTTTCATCGCGCACATATTTTTCGATGTAAATCTTAATTGAATTCAATGAACACATAAATAGGTTGATAAAACTTCCACATGATCAGACATTAATGAATGAAAATCAAATGAATTTCAAACTACTATTAAGATCTGGAATTGATTCAATTGAGCTTTCAACGGTTTGAACTGAGATTTCAAATTCTGATTGATTTGATAAACTTGATTGATTGATTTGGGTTAAGATTTTTTTGAACTGATGTGAGATTGATTTCATTGCTAATAACAAAAACGGTAAAACATACCTGCAGATAACCCGCCAGGATGCAGCCTGTCTCAAATGTTGCCTCGCATTCTCTTCGGCTTTATCTACCGCATCGACATATTCAGCTTTCGAATAGACTTTGCCATGCAATATGGTCGACGCTACCTTATCGTCATCCGCATCCGAACCTACATTTATGAACCTTCATCAATTAATGTATAATCCACAATGCCCGCTGTAATGATCATAACAAGGATAATCACAATAATGTTAACAATCACCATAACAATACAATTAAAGACCACTCTGAAGTGGATCATCGCGTTGGCCAATAATAATAATATAAAAGACAATCATAATAACAGCAGCAATCGGAAAGATTGAAAGAACGAAATCGATTTATGCAACAACGTGTGCTACAAAAACCAATAAACCACAACCTTACTAAGAGTTTATTCAATAACTTTGCAATTCGACTGAAGACCCAATCGAATCGCATTTGATGTGTGTATTCAATCAGAATATGCAATGGAATCAGAACTCACAATCAATCATTCAAAAATAAAATGAAGCAAAGCAAATGAAAATGGCAAAATTTTCAACAGATATGCACGAATGCAACAAAGTGAAAAGAGAACTGCGCTCACCTGATGAGTATTCCATTGCCGAACGAAATTCATCATCTGTGGCTCGACGTTCGCCGACAATTCTGCTCGGTTGGGGCGTTTCCGCTTGAGGTGCGATCAGTTGACGCCTTTCACGGGGTAGAACCCGAAAAGGCACCAGCCACAGCTCAAACCACGCCACCGTAAACGAACTCAATATCACCAAATATTGAGGCAGTGAACCTTGTTCACGTGAAAAGAAAAACAACACCTGAAAATATGTCATCGCATATTCATCATCGCTACTGTTTCACGTTTAGATACGATTGATGGCGAAATGAATGACTAGAATTGAGTGATAGTCAACCTTGATAACGAGGAAAAGTGTTGTGATGGCTGTCGTAACAGCCACTGGGATCCAATGATCAACCAATAAAACAGCATATGAAAACACTAATATCAACATACGACATATCGCTATTATCTGAAAACGCAAAATTATCATTTTCGTTTCCCGATTGTGATTCACCTTCCAGGTTTCTGACAAGGTGTGTATGTCAGCGAAAAAAATAATCGATGAACACAGAAAATTGCATCCCCCAACAGGACATCAGCCTGCTTTGTTTTTGATTTTGTAGAGCTACGAAATAGGATTGATCATAAATGTTTTATTAAATTCCATTCAATGCGTAGTGTTTGCTTTATTGCAAGAATTTGTTTGGAATTAAATGTTTGAGTAAATATTATTGAATGAGTGAATGTTATCATGTGGGATTACATACATGACGGCTATAAAACTGACTGCCTTCCGCAGAAAATTTATCGCAAAAACAGTCATTGCAAAACGATGACATTATCATTTGAATCGATACACTCAGAAATATGTATTTCAATCAAAAAATGAAATAAACCAATCAACAAATAAGATAACAAAACTCACAACAATATCGAAGAGTGAATTTTTCAAAAAATGTGGATCAAATATATTGATTTCACGCAGAAATACTGTCGCCCAATCATTATCTTTGGTCACCTACAACGAAACAATTTGTCGATTTCCGTCGCACAATAAAAAATCTCAAAAACTCAGCTTCAAAAATCGAAATAATTTGAGGAGCAATTCATTGAAACTCAAAGGCATTTACATTATAACTCAATATTGAGTTCATTTAATCTAGCTGAAATGAAATTCAATTGAATTACCCATAGTCAGCAATGAGAATATCGAATTTCTGCTATGAGAAAAATTCAAATGTTCGAGAAAAAATTAATTGTTCCATGAATTCTCAAACAAAAAAAAANAAAAAAAAATATCTTTCAAAGTGAATGAAGAAGAAAATAATTACCGTACAAATCAGCCAGAGAAGAACGATGAAACAGAAGTCGAATACAGAAACAATGAGAAAACGTCGACGGTCCTGTAATCTTTTTAGTTCCATGAGATTTGCAGTTCGTTCGAAACCGACTCACAATGGACCACGTTACAATGGGTTCAAATCAATATGGATGGAACAAACACCCACAATGGTATTTATTCTATAGATGAACTGAGTGAACACGCCGTCATTTGTTATTAAGACGTTAAAGTTTTGTTTCATTCGTGCTGATGATGTTCGATGAATCGTTCAAAAACAAAAAGAAATTCAAGACAAAGACATCATCATTCCCATATAATCAATTCTATTCACGCAACAACACCAACACAGTGCACAGTGTCTCTCAATTCTTCGCTCTTCCACAAATCATCAATATAACTTTTGCATTTCCCAAGAATACATAACATATTCCTGTTTTAACATATTCCTATTATCATATTCCTATTACTCCTAAAAATTTTCATGTTTAAATGTCTGAGAATTCCTTCAGGCTTCGATAAAAATTATCATGCATTACGTATTGCTACCAGATCATCCTCTGTATTAATACTATCGGTACATTATTCTTCAAGGAAATATTCAGTATGATCAAGAAACCCTGATTGAAAGAACACCAACAAATATATTTTTTAAAGCAATTTATTGGAAATGCTCAAAAATATTCCACTTATTGATGAGAAGGAATTAGGAGAGTAAAGTTTCATCAATCATATTCGGTGAATTCTCATCAAAACGTTTGTTTTTCTGTGTTATTGTTGAGTGCGATAAAGAGACGAGACAAGGATAACGAATACACAAAAACAAACTTATACAAAATTGAATTACCAACAAATTAAATTTTCAAAACGAAAAACAAGGTGATTGTATTTCATTGAGTTGAAGTGAGTGAGAAATGCGATCAGCATAAACCCTTGAAAAATGAATACTAATGGTGAGATAGATTAGTGAACATGCGATTGTGCTGTGTTATGGCAGTCGTAGTCACGTTAAAAACTTTTTTGACAAACTCAAAGAGAACTTCAATTATGATATACCTCTCTCATCGTTTAATTCAGGCACTCTTCTCTTTTTCTCACTCGCAATTAAGCTAAAGCTGACGAAAAAAGTTACGTTTTCCACATCAATATTCTACTGCAAACAATTGGAATCGATCAGTTTTTTCTCTTGTTCAGAATGGACAAAGATTCTTCAAAGGCATTATTCACTTTCGAAATACACTGACCAGAAATGGAAATACATCTGTCGAAATATGCACCCACCACATGCATTGGTATTTATTCGAAGAGATATGAAACCTAACTGCTGTTGAAACTCCTAATGATCAAATAAATGCGTACTAGTTGATCGCATGTTATACGATTTAAATGGAATTTCAACCTCATGAATTTTCAGAATTCCGTAATTTCAATAACTCTCAACGATTCGAATTCAATTAACTGCTCATCAGCACGTCATTTAATAGAGAACAGAATTTGGCAAATAAAACGGAATCATTGAATGAGAATAAGAAGGAAAATTCAACGTATTCATTGAATGTTTATTTCAAAAGAGATAAACACTTCAAAACATTGCACAAAAATAAGTTCGTTAAATTCTACTCACCTTTCCCATGCCAGGTTCACAATTCAACAACGGATCGCTAATACTACTCATATTGAACGTTTGGTAAGTCGTTAAAGGATTCCGGTTCGAATTATTAGTCGTGTTACGTTGATTAGCAGCAATGTTGAATGAGTGCTTCGTGAATATATTCCAGTGCGAATAAAGATTACCTGTTAGCTGGTCAGTTCATTTCAATGAGTAGCTCTTGTTCAGAATATACAATAAGAAACAGCGTGAATCTCTGCAAAACAAAACCGTTTCTACTATTGTTTTAAATTTCAACACAAACGACATACGCTTCTGGTTGATTCAGTCTATAGAACGCAGTGCTTCCCGTATGAAGGGCAAGGAAACTTGAGGATGTTAATGAAGTAAGGGTGACTAATTGCTTTTCCTTATCTCCATCATAATTGTTAAACACGTAATGCTTTTAAAATGCATCCTTGACAATGAAGAGACAAATGATTCCATTTATACTATTGCTGAATTATTGTCTATAAACTTTTTGACCATTGAATCGGTATTTTCATCGCCTAGGATCAATAAGAAATTTCAAAGGAACGCGAAAAACTATTATACAACCAAAATGAAGTATTGAGCGCATCAATCACATAACCTTCCAATATATTCATTTCACCTGAGATGAACAATAACCACAACTAATAATCAATCAAACGTCCCATAAATTATTGAAATGTAATACGGTAGCACATACTGGTCAAGTCAAGCGCAATAAAAAATCTTCAAAAAGATGAACTTTTGAAAAGTAAATTGAAAACATTTCCTCTCAACACGTCGAAAGTACAACATTTAACACGTAACCCATGACAATCATTGTCATATTGTTTAGAAATATCAAAGCTGACTCTATCACGTCAATAAAATGCATGTCTCTGACTACATCAACCAAGCACTTCAGTAAAAATAAATTCAGATAATGCGAACAAAAATGGCAATCGCATAGTTAAGAAGATATCACTAATTTATTGGCATGAGACAAGAAAGTATAGCGCGACCACGGTAAATGGAACATGCATAGTTAAGAAGAGATTAGGAATTTACTGATATCAGACAAAATAAACATAAATACACACCAACATACACACTGGTATGATGAATTTACAATCAGAGGTAATAAATATTATAACGTGCTATCATAAAATATGAACAGCAAACATGCATAATGTACAACAATCAAATGTATACAGCCGTTTTGAGAAAATACCATCGAAAATCGAATGAATCATGAAATGTGAAAGCTTATTGTTTTAACGATAGAATGTGATATTCAGATAATTCACAGTAATCAGGGTCACCATACCATAAATTCATTAAAAAGAGGTTCTTGAATTGAATGTTGCATCACCTTCAAGCAGGAGTGCTTGTTGAGGCTAGCAGTAAACATGAAACATCGCAGCAATTCTGCGCTTTCAATACGGATTCAAAAGAACGTGATCAGTAACGATGATAATTTTGTACTCAATGATTCTCAATCACGCAATCATCAATCTCGACATTCAAGGAATTTACAAATCATTTAAACAATACTAAAT